CGTCACGCGCGTCAGATTAATTCCTTGACTCACGGTGAAGTTGTGTGTGCTGTTACGATTTCGAATCCGACCAAATACGTCTATACGGGTGGCAAAGGGTGCGTTAAAGTCTGGGACATCGGACACGGAGGTGGTGGCAGTATCAAGCACGTATCGCAACTGGACTGCCTGCAACGCGACAATTATATTAGGTTAGTTTCCATGACTAGCCTCTATATATGTTTTCACGGTATGTTTCTATGTTTCGATATGCCACTAATATACACCAGAATTATGATATTTATTGCATCTAGTCGGAAATACAAGTTTTATTTGATTTTAAATAAAATGAAAAAATTTCAGTTAAAAAATTATGTAAGTTAATACGAAGTTAATACGACTTGGGTAAGTATCAATCTTAATAATGAAAAAAATAAATGAGAATTTGATTTTAAAAGTCATACTTTTATCATAATTCAATATATCAGATTAATAAATATTAAATGTTTAATATATTTCTTATTAAGTCTATTTTTTCAAAAACAAAAATTTATATCAACAAATTATATTTTATTTTTTAAAGTTATTCTTATATTATTTTATGAACACTGTGCATTCTTATACATAGTATGATATATACAATATAAGTACCAATAGTAGAAGCATTGTTTTCTGACACAGGTCAGTAAAGTTACTGCCAGATTGCAGAACTTTAATAGTTGGAGGAGAGGCTAGTCAGCTGATCATCTGGGACTTGGCTAGTCCTACGCCGCGAATCAAAACGGAACTGACGTCTGCAGCACCAGCCTGTTACGCATTGGCGATTTCGCCGGATTCGAAGGTCTGCTTTAGTTGCTGTAGCGATGGTAATATCGCTGTGTGGGATCTCCAGAATGAGACGTTGATTAGACAATTCCAAGGTCACACGGACGGTGCCTCCTGCATCGATATTTCAGCAGATGGTTCAAAATTATGGACAGGAGGATTGGATAATACAGTGCGTTCGTGGGATCTAAGAGAGGGTAGACAATTGAAGCAACATGACTTTACCTCGCAAATATTTTCACTGGGCTATTGCCCAACTGGAGAGTGGCTTGCAGTTGGTATGGAAAACTCAAATGTCGAGGTCCTTCATGCTACAAAATCCGATAAGTATCAACTGCATCTACACGAATCGTGCGTGTTGTCATTGCGTTTCGCATCTTGCGGCAAATGGTTCGTCTCTACGGGCAAGGATAATCTATTAAATGCATGGCGCACACCATATGGCGCTTCGATATTTCAGGTGTATATTTAAATTTTTATTAATATCATTTTGTTTTCAGATATCAATATCAGAATAATTCTGATTGGATATTATTTATTTTTTAATATTAAATCAATGTCGAATTTAATTTATATACAAATTTTTTTTTTTAGTATTTCACTTATATATATATATACTGTCTGATATCATTTCTTTTCAAAACAGATATAATGTATTATCCATCATATTGAATACTTGATTAAATACTTGATTAATACTTGATTAATTGACTAAATAATCTAAGAATATTATGTGTCTTAAACAAATTAATTTTTTTTGTAAATTTTTACTATCTTTTTTGATATTTTTGATATTATTAATATTAACATTTTGAATCATCTACTTAACAGAATAATTCAAAATATATTTGAAATATTATTTTTAATCATAAAAATATATAACGATTTATAAATAATAAATATGATTGAGCAGTTATATAATTTATATTTTATAATTTACATTTTTTTATTATTTAACAAAATTTTTAAATTTAAAATAATTCATAAATAATAACAATATATATATAGCAATATATATAGCAAATTTTTATTTTCTGTTAAAAAAAAACTATTCATAATTAATTATCTGGATAAGATTATTAAGGAATAAATATCATGTAACCATTTATTGTAATTCTTTTAATGTGGAATGCTTAACAGAACAATAACTTTATATATCTTGCTTAAATATCTTGTAACTTAAATATCTTGCTTCTTTTGTATTTGTTTTATTGGTTAAATTAAAGACAATAAAATATAATAAATACAAGTTTAAAACTATGTAAAATTTAAAATTATTAATTTAAAATAATTGTATATTAATTTAAAATACAATTAAATTTTAAACTAACATTTTTAATTAAAAAAATAATCTTATGTAAATTATTATTTAATTTTGAGCAATATATATCTTGCACATAAAATAATTTTTGATATTTTTTAGAAGTTGCAATAAGAGGAGATAATCGATATCAGATATATTTTTTATTATTTCGTCGAAGATGAAGAATAAGAAACATTATCACAATAGATAATCTATTTCCATATCATGCCATGTATAACTTTACTCAAAAAACTTCAAATGACCATATAAGAATCCATATTAATTCTTTTTGCAGTCGAAGGAGTCCTCGTCGGTGTTGAGCTGCGATATTTCTGCTGATGACAAGTACATTGTAACCGGATCTGGTGACAAAAAGGCCACTGTATACGAAGTGATTTATTAGATGCGTACGGTAAAGACGTTTTACGTTTCCCTCCCTTGGTCGAAACTTGAACTGTTTAATGCTCTCCCTTCTCGCGGGAGATCTTACAAGTGAGACTTTTTAGCAGCCTTAGGAACTTAGACTGTTACTATATTGTGTATATATACATAACAAGTATATTAATGGTAGAAATTGCGTTCGAAAGAAATAAAGCACAGACGGACAAACGAAAAAAAAAAAAAAAAGAACTGATGCTAATTATGATTGGTTAAGAAACCAATGTGTGTGCCAGAGAAAAATCTGTATATGTATATTTAGAAGTTGCGTGTGCGTGGCCCAATTGTACCTACGACCATGTGATTTAACGTAGAAGAAACTTTCTTTGTCGCGTGTATACAACGAGAATGTGTTAATGGTACGTTACCAAACAATTTTGCATGCGCATTAAGTGATCAGAGCCTTGCAAATGGTGATGCTAGATACGATTTCGTATATGTAAGTACCTAATTATAAAATCAACACGCCCAAAACATTATACGACAGATAGCATGAAAACAAACATTGGAAATCTGTCTAACGAAAAATTATACTTGCTCTCACTTACGGTAATTTTCTTCGAAACTTTTACAATTTTTGCAAAATTGTCCCTTAGTATAACTACAACCACGATATCGAAGTATATTATTGCTCTATATTTGGAAATGTTTCGAGGAAATCGTTGGCTGTAGCTGTCTTTAATAATGCGTTTCACTATAGATCAGAAGCAACTATAGTCTTCTGTCGATTAATGTTGTCGATATAATATTTTATGCTGATAGCGATATGTTGACATCAATAACAACAAATGCAATGAAAGATGAATGCACATCGAATTATTTATTTCGTATAAATTATTCATTTCGTTCATTTAGAATTAGTTGCAAAATTCGATCATTCAGATGTTTTTGAAATGACATGCAAAAAATTCATGGCAAGTTTATTCAGAAGTTTATTTAAAAAATATAATGAAGAAATTATTTCTATTTGAAGACAGAAAAAAAAACTTGACCTGTATCATGAGAGCAGTGTTGTGTATTGTCTATATGCTATCAATTAATTTTAAATATATCAATGAAAAATAATTGCCTTTTCTATTAAAATAAAATTTCGTAAATAATCTGTTCCAGCAAATACTTAGGTAAGTAGTTGCTTAATTGCAATCTGATCAAAGTTAATGAGTCAGTGTACAAATGAATGATTTATAAGCATAAGAAACGTGTTATAATATTAATTTATAGACTTTTCGGTTAATTAGATTACGTTACATAATTATGATAAATTAATAAAAAGATATATACTAATATAGTATCATATAATATAAAAGATTAATCATTTTAATCTTATCAGTATAAGTATTTTACTAAATTGTATCCGATTTTTTGTATTTTAATGTTTTAAATATAATATTTTAATATTATTAAATTATCAAATATAACATTTTTTTAAATTATTAAAATTTTTTAAAATTTTATTATTTTATTATTTTATAATTGAA